AGCCACATTCAAGGGACCAAAGATCCACATGTAGCTCATGAGCCATAGTTTCCCAACCACTGCATGAGGGGAACAAATTTAGTGGATGGCCTGAAACTTTCTGAAGTTTTGGGTTATTTCTCTGTCCAGACAGAAACCATCCTACATATGCAGAAAATACACACATCCCTTCTCTAAACTAATTCAGAATCGTCAATGTTGAGGGGCATATAGAATTGTAGCCTGCAAAGAAATGGGACACACGCCTGGATTGCAGGCTTAGTGTCAACCTATGAATCAGGAGGTCATGGTTCAATTCCTGGTTGGGCACATGCCTAGATTACAGGCTCAGTCCCTGGTATGGGGCATGAAGGAGGCAGCTAATCAATGAGTCTTTCTCATCATTGATATTTCTATCTCCCTCTCCCTTCCTCTCTCTGAAAACAATAAAAATATATTTTTAAAAATTCTTACAAAGAGGAAAAAGAAATGAGCTGGTCTGCTGAACTGAGAATGTGTTTCTTAAATACCCTGCTAGTTAAATGGTGAGCCTAAATGCTCACAGAATTGATGCCCAGACATCATTCTTTTTTTGCCACAATCATCACCCCAATAACATCAGCAGGCATGACCCAGGTAGGCTATTTACAGCCCTGTTACATGTGAATATTTTATATCATCTCTCCATCCGTAGAAAGCTTTGTGTGTCAGTCTTCTATGGAATGTGGGCCTTTCTCTCTGGGCTTCTGAAGAGAACTTAAAAAAAACAAACCGTAAGTTGGTTAAACAGGTGAAGTCGGGGGACATTTTCTCACATTGAGATTTATTGGATTGTGAACAGTCTCTCAGGGGAAGCACCAGATGCCCCATCAACTGGTTATTTAATTCAAAGGACTGCAGAGTGAGTAGAAGAGATGCCTGCCGCTTGGGGGAATAATTTTATGTTGATCCCTAAATGACTGACTTGATAGTCTTAACATTCTCAATACTTTGCAAATCTTCAGTGTTTTCAGACACTTTCAAATGAGAGGAAAAGCCACCCTGCTTACAACCGCTGCTGCACATAAAACCAAACAAAAACAAACCCACCAACAGAAAGCACAGCTCAGCATCCTTTTATCAGTGCTAGCTAAGCCACAGGGAAGCGTTGGCTCAGAAAGAAAACGGATTCTGGCCCCAGGCCTCGGGTCGGCCGAGGGCTTGCTTTTTCCTCCTTTCTCCAGTTATTTATTTCCCTTTTTATTCTTTTGGTTTTAAACATCCAAAACCTAGAATTTTATGTTGTTGTTAATCCTCACCCAAAGATATTTCCCATTGATTTTTAGAGAGAGTGGGAGGGAAAAGGAAAGGCATAGAAAGAGAAATATCAACCACATAGACTGATTGCCTCCTGTACGTGCCCCCACCCCCAACCCCCTCCAGCCAGGGCCAGAAATTGAGACTGCAACCAAGGTATAGGTACTTGACCAGAATCTAACCTGGGATCCTTCAGTCCACAGGCCAACACTAAGGCAAACGGGCCAGGGCCCAAGCCCAGCATTTTTATCTTACAACATGCTCAAATATAATGATACTCTCGGGTAATGTAATCTGTTGATGGGGAAATTCTGGTAAGGTCTCTTAATGCTACTGACACCTACCCGCTACTGCTGTGGAAGTTTCGAGAGGAAGCTGGACAACAGTGCTTGGTGTCTGCAGCTCTCCACCTGTGATAAACTATAAATAAGAAGATAGACCCAGAAGGTCTGAGGAGGCGTCTCAGCTGTGGGTTGAGCTCTCCCAGTTATCTGGACGGGTTGCAACACATGAAGCCGCACCCACCACCCTACACTCGCACCCACATGCCAGCAGCACCCACTCTGTAGAGGAACTGTGCTGCACTCCACATACTGTGGATGGCAGTTGTGCTGGGCTGAAGAGAGAGCAGCTGTGGAAAAAATGATACTAGAGGTGTGAACTGACTGGTCCCAGAAAGTTAAAGGAGGAAAACTCAAGGACTCCCCCTCTCCAGTTGCATAAAGAACATCTTAAAGAGCTCCAGGGAACACTCTCTAGCCATTCGGATGTCCCTACCCGAAGGCCATGTGGGACATCAAAGCATCTACAAAGAAAGGGAAGGTTTGGGGTAGATACGTGAAATGGCTCCATGCAAAGATCACAAACAATTTCATCCAGCTCTGGACTGCTTGAGTGGGTTAAGAACAAGTGTAAAGTAAAAGTCCTCTCTGGGATGTTCTATGGCGATGAGGGTGAATGATGGGGCCTCATGGAGAAATGCAGCAGCAGAGAGTCCTGGGCGCCACCTGGACAGAGGACAGGACCCTCATAAAACCCAACCATGTCCTTGTGCTTATATATTACACTTTCTCCGCCATCAGTGACTGCATTTACTCATATATATATATATATATATATATATATATATATATATATACACACACACACACACACACACACACACACACACACACACATATATATATATATATAAAATCCATGATTGCCTTGTTTTGGAGGTGGCTTCTTTATTTCTCTCTGTTTGACTTCTGATTACAGAGCTTTACCCCAAAGCCTGAGATTTGACTCTCTCGGTGATGAGAGCTCTCCAGCTTGCTTTTCTCCGTTTTCTCCAATAAAAGGCAAGTCAACAGAAACGGCCTTGGCCCTGGGACCCCAACATAACATTTTACCCTTGAGAGGGTAGGAACCACGGTATGTCTTTTCATGAGTCTTAAAATGTTCATCATCATCTGCCGTCTCTATATGTTATTTTATTTCATTAAGGAAGGATATTTCCAAGCCTTTAAAATCTTTCTGTTTCATTAGTTGACTATTTCTTATAGGAACCATTTTATATCTTTTCTCTTTCTTAAATAAAAAACTTGTGAAATATAATATCTTACAGAACCCTCTTTACCTATGTGTGTGTGTGTTGTGTGTTTTGTGTGTGTGTGTGTGTCTCCCAGCCCACAATACACCATTGGACTTGCCACTCTCCATAATCACATGAGCCAACTCCTTACGATAATTTTTTTTTCTATGTACACACATGTCTTACTGGTTCTGCCTCTCCGGAGAACTCTGAATATTACCAACACCAATAATATAATATATGCACCAATTTATACTCTGACCAGCAGCAGATAAGTGTTCAACTGCCCTTAAACTCTTCCCTTCCTATAGAGGTGTGACTAGCTTCATCTTCCAGGTGGTGAAAAAGATGGGTTTATTTTGTGTCCCCTCTGAAAATTATTCAGTGACTTCCAAGGTCTACACTATAGAGTGAGGCTCAGACTCTATTAGGCACAGTGAGATTCAGCCATCCTAGATTCCTGGGCTCCTCCCTGACATTCTACTGCCCCAGTGGGGTTCAAATTCTTTTCTAATAGATAATCTATACTAATAAAAGGGTAATATGCTAATTAGTGCAGACATCCATCCAGACAAAGCCACAGCTGCTACAAGCACCTAGGGCCAGCGCCACGCAGCAGAGATGGGCCGGTCCAGCGCTCATCGCTCATTGTGCAGGAGGGGCGGCCGGGTCTGGCACCCCTGGACCAGCACCACGAACCCTTTTGCAGAGGCTGTGAGAAGACAGCGCTGTGCCCTTTTCCGCAGATGTGGCACAGGACAGGCCGCAGTGTGGCCTGGACCCAGTGCTGCCCCTTCTGCAGAGGCAGCCACGGAGGCAGGTGCCACGGAGACTGGAAGGGATGCAATCTGTTGTGCCTCAACTTCCCACAGCCCCTCGCCCAGCTGGCCTGGCCCCAGATTGCCCCTCCCACAGCCACCAGTGGGTGGGGGCAGGGCCAGCGCTAAGAATTAAGGGCTGAGGGCCAAGGGCTGACAGTGGCGGCAGCAGCGGGGTAATGGGGGCAATACCTTCCCCTAATCAGCCTGGTTGCCTCCAACCAAGGAGGACATCCCCTGAGGGCTCCTGGGCTGTGAGAGGGGGTAGGCCAGGCTGAGGGACCACCCCACCCCCCACCCCATGCATGAATTTTCATGTACCGGGCCTCTAGTCTATGGTATAAAAGCTTACCCAGGACCCCAACATATCATCTGTTGAGCCCTTTTGCTGGTGCAGACAGGGAGAGGGTTCCATCCTCACAGTTAAAAAATTCCTTTCCCATTTTCAAGGTCCAGCATGACTTGTCCCTCCCTTGAGCCTCTGTGATCTGCTCTGTCGGAGTCAAGCTCCCTTTGAGATCATTGCTGGCACCTTTGGACACATCCCTTGGTTTCAGCCTGGTGCTCTGACTTGGAAGCTCCCAAACCTGAGTTAATGACCTTGGATCTCAGTTTCTTCATCTATATAGTGCGAACACACAGCCTCCCCCATGGTGCTTCACAAGTATTTCATGAGATGACATTTGCTTACTTAATGCACACACAGTATAGTGTTTGCTTTAACTAACTAGCCAGGCCAGAGACACATGGATTATAGCAAATCTCTCCACAACTCCGTTTCCACCACAAATTCTGCGGCCTTGAGATGTTATCTCCCAAGTCACTTCAGCATGCCTCCCTTGAAGCAGTAAATAAATGCAGCCATTCTCACCCTCAAATTCTCTAAGTCAAGTACTAACAGAGAGATGTCTGTTCTAAAGTTGACACACATTATAACATAATTTTGCATTAATAGTACCATTTACCCAGAATAAAGCATCCAATTTGCTCTTTAGCTCTGGGCTGGAGGCTTGAGGAACGTATAAGGTTCCTGGACCCAGACACAGCCAGTTTAATGCAGGGTCAACTTATCATGAAGACAGTATAAGACCTATGCTTTCTACCAGTACATTCAAATTTGTGAGATGCTTCTTCTACTCAAAAATGATAGCACATTAATAAAAAAACAAAGGTAACTCATAGTTTTATTCCTTTGAAATACTACTCATAGAATCTAGAAATGGAATTGGAAAGCATCACGAAATAGGATAAAGCACTTCATTGCTTCTATGTAGGCTTTATAAAATAAAATGCTGCTGGTGGGTAAAAAGGGAAATGAAATTGGCACTTACCTGGTGGAACTACCTGTACCACCTTTTCCCAAGATCCATATGGGAATATTTCAAGAAGGCAGGAATAGGCGCCAATATCAGCCTCAGAGGCATTGTAAAAGGCCAGCATCATATTGTTGGGATCCGAGGTTGACTTCAAGAAGTAAACCCTATCAGCATAGGGATCCCTTATCACCGAACCAAAGTTAGGGTGATAAATGGCCATGGACTCTTTCTTCGTTGCATTGATCTTGAACCACTCCATCTGGACTAAGGTGCCCAACAATGGATACTGACACTCGAGAGTCAGAGTCTCTGCAAGTTTCACTCTTGTGTTCCAAAATACCTCTTCACCAAGAGCTGAAATATACACCATATTCATTCCATTAGACATTATGCTCAAAGTACCAAATAGATATCTTCAGCTGTTCTAAGCTTTCTAAGACCTAGTAAATTGAGATCATGGTAGAGATGAACAGCTTCTACTTTAGTCTAGAAAGGTTTCCACTGCTGGGAATAGGCACTTGTAACTTTTTCTTTTTCTGAACAAGTGGCAAATTATCTAAGCCAACTATAGAACACTATAATTTCAGAACGTGTCACACTATAAGACAAAAAAAAAAGGACTGAAGACATTACCTTACCTTTGTGTAGATGAAGAAGAGCCACGAGGAAAGTAAAATAATCCATCTCTGGAAAGCGCCGGGGAGGCTGGTCTGGAAAAAAGACAAGTTTTATAATTGTTACTTGCAGAGGCCCGGCACAAGGCACTGTTACTTCCTCTCAGATACTATCAGTGGTATCTTCTCTTTCTGAAGTGTGAACACAGGAAAAAGGTCTGAGCTTCAAAGTCAGCTTTGCTCTCGTACAAGGATGGGCAGATTTGAACTGCTTCTCTCTCGGGGAAACAGCTTATTTTCAAGTTTTCATTTCTACAGAGATTCATTCATTGAACAAACATTGCTGAGTGCGTTTTCTCTAGCCAATGAGGATACAACAATCAATTTACTTAAAAATGAATTCTTGCCATCATGAAACTTATGTACTAGTGGGAGGAGACATAAAGGAAAACAAAAAGGTAAAAAGTAGAGTCAGTTATAGGTGGTAAGTGCACAAGGGAAAGGGGCATGGGATTAGGGGAAAGGCTCTAGCATTTATTTCCCTTTAATAGAAAGCCCCAGAGTCTTTACTGAGGACCTGAGATTGGAGCACAGACTGAAGGGCAAGGGGAGGAGTCTGTGACTGGGGATCCGGCAGCTCCACTGGGTGGGGCCTTCCTTTGCTGAGTTCAGACATTGGCTTTGGATGATGATGGAGTCAACAAAGGCCCTCCAAATCTACCATTATGCTTGATTTTTTAAAAAACTTTTTATTTTTAAATAATTTTAGAGTCACAGGAACTTGCCAAGATAGTACAGAGAGCTCCCATGTACCTCCACCCGAAGTCCCTGTTATATCTTATATGATTATAGTTCAATATCAAATGTGAAATCAACAATGTCATGGTAATCAGAACAATTTGATGTGTACCTATAATAATGTATGGTGCCAACTTGGGTTTACATAGGCATTCTGTTTTCCAAAAGCTTTCACATTGATGGTATCATTTGTAACAGCTTTGTGGTTGTTATTTGACATATCTGTGATCTCTGTTTTGTAAGTAATTCATTGAAACCATTTACTGACAATACCAGCACAAGATAGACATGGTCTCTACCCCCAAATCGCCCATAAAATGTTGGGTCAGGCAGATTAAAGAAGTGATTTGTTGTAATAAAACTTAGTCATTTCTGTACAAGTCATTTGATCAAGTTATATGACATCCCAGAGAGGGAATTCATTTCAGTAGATTTGGGCAGGGTGTCCTGGGAAGAGTGTACCAGACCCTGGGCCTCCCAACCACAGGTAGAAAGTGGGAGAAAGAGCAATAGAGTGACAACATGGGACACTACCAGGAAACAATATAACTACACTGTAGTGGGTAGGACACAACGACACACATGAAGCACTTCACAGTCAGGGACCAGGGCGTCCTATTGCATCTGTGACTCAGCACCAGAATGTACATCTAAGGCACAAACGTATTATAGCTCTGAGAAAATGCCTTCAGAGTTGTAGTGGGAACTGTTAAGATAAGATAGGGACAGGAAATCCAGGAGACTGACTCCAGATGGATTAGGTGATACAATGTATGCCCTTACAGATTTTCTGATAGGGTTATAATTGCAAGCGGAAGCAGTTGGGGGCTTTGGGGTACAAGAATGATACAATCTGATTTGAATTATCAGATAGACAACTTCCCTCACTAACCTTCCCGACTAACAGGAAGCTGGCTTTGTTTAGGATCCACTCCTTCTCCCCACCATAGGGATAGTAGAACAAATCTAAGCCATGATACAGACAATGAGAACCTATTTGGGGGCAGGGGTGGAAAACCAAATCATGGACTGAATTGATGCATTCAAAGCAAGAGAAAATCTTTACATTTGATGTCACAGACATCTCTCTCCTTCTTTCTTTCTCTTTCTCTTTCTCTCTCTCTCTCTCTCTCTCTCTCTCTCTCTCTCTCTCTCTCTCTCTCTTTCTCTCTCTCTCTCTCTGTCTCTCTCTCTCTCATCTTATTGTACTATTTTTTTTTTTAATAAGAAAAATGTTGCCCCAGTTACCACAAGCAACCTGAGGACAAAGAGTGTGGCAAAGAGAAACGGGAATGAGTTTGGGTCTCAGACGGCATCATTGAGGTACTGAATTCAGGATTCTTGAGTCTGAGCACATTGTTTGAGGCTATAAATTCCCATATTTTACAAGCCTGAGAGAAAAGCAGTTTCTGTTTCCTACACCCACATACCTCTGAACTCCTACAACTGTTCTGGCTGCTGCATGAAGAATGGATTGGGAGGAAGCAGAAAGGGATACCAAACTTAGGACACTGTCCCTGTGATCTGAGCAAGGCGGGTAGGTGGCTTGTTCTCAAAGGTTTCCTTGGAGATGAAGAGCGATAGACCGACTACCGAGACATTATCATTGTTAATCACAGTAGGGATATAACAATTATGGGTGTCCTTGACTCCATGGGCCCCAGTCACGGACCAGTTAGGAAAACAGAGCCCATGGCCACTGGTTCAATCGAGGGCATTTTATAAGAAAAACTACTAGAAAGAATAATGGGAGCGCAAAAAAAAAGCCAAACAGGGACAGGGAGGCAACTCAAAAAGGAGCATACGGAGGAATCCATTTCCATTGTTTAGGTTAGAAGTCCTGGGAGGAGCCCACTGCTCATTATGTAGGTTCCTGTTTGAAGCTGGAGCCAAGGAGGAAATAAAATGCTTCTAGAGATGTTAAGAAAGATCAAGGAATAGATCTGTCAGAAAAAAGGGGAAATGGCAGGAGAGAAAACTGATGCTCAGATAACCTGAATGACTGCTAGTGAAGGGCATCTATAGAGAACTCACAGCTGACCTCAGACTCGGTGAAATTTTCCTCTAAAAGTAGGAGCAAGGGAAGGATGCTCACTTGTGCCACCATTATTCACATTGTATTGGAAGTTTCAGCCTGAGCAATTAGGCAAGAAAAAGAAATGAAAGATATCTAAATTGCAAGGGGAAAAGCAATCTACAAGTTTAATGCAATCCTTATAAAAAATTCAAAAAGCTGGTCCCAAATTCATATAGAATTGCAAAAGAGCCTTGGAAAAGAAAAAAAAGTGACACTCCTAGTTACAAGTTTATAACAGCAGAAAATAAATAATGCAGAAGATCATAGTCAATGATTTTGATATGTTGTCAATGATTCATGATATAAATAATTGCTAAATGCTAATAAACAAATGCCAAACATATATTAATAAATCAATATGTCTGCTTACCAACCTATCTATCTGGAGGGTGTGTGAGAGTGTGGGAGGGTAAAAGAGAGAGCATAAGTGTTGGGTAAAACATGGCAGAGGTGCAAGTAGAGAGGAAGGGTGGACAAAGGGACAGAGCAGACAAATGCAGCACAGGGGCAATGGATCCTAAAAGAAATGAGATGTAACAGCACCATCTAAAAAGGGGGCACTAATTGGTAATAACTTGTAGTAAACCCTTCATTCCCAAGGCATCCAAAGCCAGCTGAGCTAAGAGATGAAGACGGGTCAAGTCACTAAAATCAAGGAAGGGCACAGATCCCCATGAAAGGTGCAGGGAGACGTGTGGCTGAAGATAAAGTTCAGCTGTTACAACTTTGCAAAAGATGAGCCCTATTTGTCACCATCTAACCAAAGACAAATAGAGAGTACGCTTCAGCTATTTTTGTTGTGGTGGCAGCCATTTTTTCTATGATTTATGAAGGGATTTTGGCTTGAGGTTTTTTTTCCCTAATAGAGCTGTCTGTACAAAAGAGCTTCATCCTCCAGGAAGTCATTAATCAAAATATTATTGGAATTCTCTACTGCTGAACATGTCTCAGTGAACCACGTAAGTGTGAATTCATCCACAAGCTCACCTGGGACTGCAGGCTCCTTAGGGGACCTGAGCTGGTGACCGTCTCCAGGTACACCGTTTTCTTCCTCCTAGGCTGTCCACATAGGCACTTCTCTGTCTCCCAGTGTCACTTCTGCTTTCTGTGGTACTTCCTGCTGTCCTGGATGTCTCCGCCCTTTCTGAACATTGGGAGGATTCTATTCCATGAACCGAGCCCACCTGCCCCAACACCTGCTGAAACACAGAGCTGTTCTGACTGCATCCCTCACTTCTTTGGACAACTACTGCCATGCTGGACAACAGAAAGCCTGTGCTAACCTTTGGAACCAATGACTGGGCCTGGGGGGACCACATCCTTCTTATCTGCGAAGATGCTCATCCTTCAACTGGAACCTTACAGTCTTGGTTTCATCTTCCTGCCTCAAAATATCTCCTTAAAAGAATATTTCCAATGAGGGACGTGTGGTTTCCCCTAACCCATGATACCCTAGACCTTTGGCAAGACCCCTCTGAGGGACCAGTAAAAATGCACTTGCATTCAAAGCAGAGACTTCAGTTTGAGTTCTGAGAGGCATCTTCTAGGACAAGGTTCTGCAAACTATGGCCCAGGGGCCTCTTTTGTACATGTGACTGGAATGCAGCCAGGCCTGTTTGTTGGCATATTGTCAATGGCTGCTTTTGTGCAATGACCAGTAGTTGTGACAGAAACCAAATGACCTGCAAAGCTGAAAATAATAACTTTCTGATGCATCAACCCGTGCATAGGATAGGATGTTGATAGTGAACATTTATCATGTAAGTTCATCTCGCTCTAGTCTTTCTGGAGAGAAGGAAGTTTCACCCTGATAGCCCAGACACTGGTAAAATTAGCTCCATTGTATTCTGAAGAACCGCACTCTCTAACCTACCACACGTTTAATTCTTCTAGGAACAGACTAAGAAGGAGGAGGACTTACATGACATCTGTTAATACTTCCACCCATCATTAAACTTAGTGGTTTATCGAGATCAACCATTCGACTAATTACAGCTTTTTCCCAAAGCTCTTTTCCTACTGTACCTACTTACACCATTTTATTAGCAGGCCACCTCCTTGCACACACTATTAATTTTAAAAGTGTGACTTCTGCCACGTTCAATCTTTTTTCCCCCCAGAAGGTTACTAACCTTGAGACGGGAGAGTTCTGCTCACTCGGACTCTTCTTTCCCAATGTGTGTCTTGGTGAAGGGCTTCCTCCTTGTGGTGGCCTCTTCGCCTCAGTCCCACTGGGTCACAGGCCAGCTCCCTGCTTCCTCATTCCTTAGGGGGCGTCATCCCAGGACGGGACTTGTCCTGGGCTTGTGAGCTCTTCTCTCCACCTGAGCTCCTTCAGGCTGGAGCGGCAGGAAAACCCCAACAAGTCACAAAGCACTGTTTGAAGGCTTGAAACCAGTCGAGCAGTGGGCCTGCTTCTGGAAGAACCTTTATCACTTTAGCGCCTCAGGCCCACTCCCTACCAGATGCAGCTCTCTTTTCCCCCTGACGATTCTACAGTTACAAAGGATAGAATTCTGAGCCCATGTCTTGCTTCTAAATTGGAACCACGCTCAAAAAGCCTGAGGTCGGTGACTTTGTCTCTGCTTCCCTCTGTGTCTTCCTGCCAGTCAAAGCACTTCATATTGACAAGTCCCTGAAATAAGGGAACTCTCATCTCTACTGGTATCTAATCAATCCCACTCTCCAGAGACGCCTTCTGGTTTTGTTTTCAATCTCCCACTTTCTGACACGACACGTGCCCAATTTGGTGCTGCCTACCAACTATCCTGGCAGGTTCAGCACACAATCGTCTCTCTGCTGCTCCAAGGACAGTAGCGCTGGTCACACGCATCCTGTAGATGGGCTAGCTCATGGAGGTTCCTGGGCTGAGCCGCCAGGAAGGACTATGGCTGAGGCCGAGGCTGTGCAGTGTAGAAACCCCGGGAAGGAAGGCCCAGGACCACATGGGACAGAGGAGAAGGCACTTTCTGGAGGCCGCCTCTTCGGTAGCCCCCTGGAAGCTGGTGGGGAGAAAACGAAGTGTTCTTTCCTGACACCCATGGACTTTGAGCACTTACTGTGGGACACCGGTAGTTTTCTGAAATACCTACCTGCCTCAGGCCACTTTCTTCAACGCCAAGCCGCCCTCAGAAGAATGTCAGACTTCTTCCGGACTCGGTAGGCCGGCCTGTCTTGTCCATTACTCCCACCCACACTCCAGAGCCTCCTGATGTTTACACACTCTGCAGCCAGGACTTCGCACATGGAGCTCCGTGACTTCTATTCCTGTCCCCTCAGGAGGTCCCAGCTCAGATGTCCCTCACAGGACACGCTTCCAAGACTGGGGTCGGTAGTCCTCCTGTGAGTTCCCGAAGACCCTGGATAGGTCTTTACTGAAACATGCACGGCTTCTTCTGTAACATCCCATTTCTTTGCTGCATTTCTTATCAGAGCCTCACAAACCCTTCAGTGCACAGACAGGCCCCTCCCCTGCTCTGCCCAGAGCGGGGGCAGGTCAGTATGTGTTGAAAGCAGGTAAACCCATAGCTTGCATTAATGGGGCATTGTCACGTGCTAATTACCATCCGGTTTCATCTGGTTTCCCGTGCGTGCTTTGCTCTTGGTTGTGTGCCTCGTCTCCGTTTCTCCAATAAATAAGCCAAAAAGAAAAAATGATCCCAAATTCACATGGATTTTGCAGAATAAGCCCAGAGACAAGCTTTTCTGTTTCTGGCCAACTCTTTCTCAAGATGACTCGGTGGGCCCTGACTTGGCCGCAGACATTGGCTGAAATGATCACTGTCCACCCAGAGGACACACTACATGAATGTCAGAGCCATTGCAACGGCACACGCTGCACCCTGACTCACAAAATTCACATTCCCATAAATATTTCTCTCACATTCCTCCTTTATAATCACTTCCTAAGTCAGTGTCCACATGCAAACACATGCATGCATACACGCGCACCATCACCATCCTCGTTACCACTTACATTCCATGATCAAGTTACTGCTATTATTAAGGAAAGAAAAATGGACACCGTTTTTTGCTGGTTCTCTGTAGGGACCATCCCGTCTGGTTTCCTTAGCTTCTTCGTGGGGGCTCTTGCAATCTTACAGCCTTGCTAATTGCAAAGAACCTCACAATTAGCTTTTACCTACCCCCACAGTCTAGAGGCACCCCAGTGTCTTGGCCCCAGAATGCAACATTGCTCTCCCCAACAGGAAGCTACACAATCTTACTCAGCACATAGCAGAAATGTTTTAAAAAATCACACAATCAATAATGAATTTCAAACAAACAATACAAACTTCCTGAGACAAATAAAACTGCCTTATGCCCCTAGAAAAAGTCACCCTAAGTGTTCCAACCAAGAGACAAAATAAGGAAAATTAGTGGGGCAGAAGAAATATTATGTACCACTCAAAGAGATGGGCCACACCTCTCTCTCTCTCGTGTTTGTGACCCTCATTAAGGGCCTTTTCAACAGTTTAAAAGTGAAAATAGTCCCAGCCGGTTTGGCTCAGTGGATAGAGCTTTGGCTTGAGGACCAAAGGGTCCGAGGTTTGATTCTGGTCAAGGGCGTGTACCTTGGTTGCAGGCATATCCCCAGTAGGAGGTGTGCAGGAGGCAGATGATTGATGCTTCTCTCTCATCGATGTTTCTAAATCTCTCTCCCTCTCCCTTACTCTCTGTAAAAAAATCAATAAAATATATTTAAAAGTGAAAATACTCTTTAGCATCACCACTTGTTGACAGACATAGAAACGCAGCAGAAACTGTCAGACCCTGGGAGGAGAGCCACTGGCTTCCTCTCCGCTCTTTTCCTCGAGGATCCCAGGGCAGCACCTCAGTGTCCTACTAGTGGGGGGTGCAGTTAGCCTGCCTTTCTTGTACTAACTGCATTTCGGCATGACCTAACTTTCTCTTTACAGAAAAGAAAATTTCAGCTACTCAGTAGAGAAAATGATACTAGATATTTTTAAATCATTATTTTGCAACTCCTATGAAAAACATAAACTGAAACCATTGTGTGTAGATGCTTAAGCCGGTAGATGACAAGTTATCGGGAAACTGTGTTATGGAAGATACTGCTGACTGACGCTCCTCAAGCCCTCTGATCAACCATAACCACTCAGATGGTATGAGGTAACTCAGAGGGAAGAGAACAGCACCACCTGAGAAGAACTCTTAGCAAAGCCATGGAAGCCCAAGCCAGGTCAGCCTCTGGAAGGAGCTGGTGGTGTACAAGAAATGCAGGGAATAGAAGCATGAGTTCAAAGGCTCTAACGAGAGGCAATGGACTGAACACAGAAAGCAAGAGAGGTAGCAGAACAAAGGTTGTGGGTTCGTATGAACAAAGGTTGTGGGTTCGTATGAACAAAGGGCAGTAATAATTCACATAAGAAAATGTCACCTAATCCCTTTAGTGCCCAAAAGGCACTTGATAGTTCTAAATATTCTTGTCTAATAAAAAATACATAACAATTTTGGAATTGAATAGGCATAATAAAGACAACTCATTAAAAACTAATGGCAAACTTGATGGTAAGACACTGGAATAATTTCAATTACATTTCTATGTAACACAAGAAGACCACTATTACCGCAAATCTCTAACATTGTTCTGGGAGTCTTAACTGATGCTATAGGCTTTAAAAAGAATAGGAACTGTAAATGTTGAATAATTATTTTGAGTTTATTATTATTTGTAGATGATTAACCTGGAGAACACAAAAGAATCAAATAAAAAAAAACTAATAAGAGAACAGATAAGGTGTCTAGCAAAACAATTTTATAAGGCTCGCTTTATTTTATGTCATATTTTAAAACCAGAAAAATATGAATATGTAGGAATGTGTCTTAAAAATTTGCAGGAATTATACAAGATTTGTAAATTCCATAAAGGTAAATTAAATGTCTTGAATAGATGGAGGTAACGTGCTATGTTCCTCTTGAGCAAGACCCAATTTGGAGAAAACACAATAAAAAATTATTTTAAATTCTCTGGAATTTTATAATCGCTTATGTTTTTAGCAGACTGGGCCATGAACCACAGTCCTGTCAGACCTCCTGTTCACCCACTCTACAGGAGATGGCAGAGGTCCCAGGGCTGGGGGTAACAGGGGGAAAGAAGAACTGGGGGGCAAGCAGGGAAGAGTTGAAGGTGCTTGCTTGCCCTCAGCAGTAGCATGGCATGAGTGTGTGTGTGTGCGTGTGTGTGTGTGTGTGTGTGTGTGTGTGTGTTCACGCGCATCTTCATAGAATAACATTGTCTGAGTTAGCAAGATCCCAGTGTAAATGATAATAGCAAAGAGCATTTTAATGGGAAGAAAGATGGAGAGGGGCATGAAGTTACCAAAACAGAGCATGAAGCCACAAAGTCAAAGTGCTTTCTTCTGGAGGAATGGAGAGTTCAGCGGCAGACTCAGAATGACGGGTTTTCAGGGGTAGAGGTTTGCAAGCAGCCTGACGAGAAAAGAACATTCCTGACCTCATCCCCCAGCAGCCCCGGCATCCAGGGGCTTGACCGATAATTATTATTAAAGGAGCCCAAGATCTGAAAGAACATGTTCTCCTCCACAGGGGAGTCTGTTTCTGAATTCCAGGAATATGCTAAAGCAAAAGGCTTCTTCATAGATGCACCATCTAATAAAATGCCGGCTGATTCTCTGGGCAGCATAGAGGCCCTAACTTCATCAGAGTTCTCTCTCGCTGATAAGTGAGTCAGTGAAAGACGTAACCAGACTTACGGCAGAAGCTTGCCCGGGAAGTCAGATATGTGTACATGTATATGTATATGTATATGTATATGTATATGTATATGTATATGTATATGTATATGTATATCTATAGCTATATCTATATCTATATCTATCTATATAACTATAGATGGATAATATCAAGATAACACACATTATGACATATAATGTAAGATATATATATATAAAGATACAATAAATTAAAGTAATATTTATTAAATACATATGATATAAATGATAAATAGCAAAGCCATAGAAAATGTGGTAGCTTTTTCTACATAAAAACCAAAAAGTCTATCGTAGCCAACTTCACACACTAACAAAGCAAAAAGAAGGAAGAAGAATTGGGAGAGCAACCTATGAAATGTTTGAGACAGGAGTATAATATTTTCTAAATGTAAAGCATTTAAATATCAGTGACACAAATAGCCCAATAGCAAAACAGGCCCTGGGTGCTCAGCCTCCGATCACACAAGGGGAGTCAGCAGTGCATATGACACACCCGGCAGGTTACCTCTCTGACCCAGCAAGGCCCACTCAATGTTTGTCCGCACCAAGAGTAAACTTAGCAAAGATGTGAGTTTAAAAATGTGCAAGTAGTTACGACAGCATTAGTTTTAGTAACGGGAATTGGGAACAGTCTTTAT